TTTTATTGCTGAGCATGATGTGGCTCAAACCACTCTGGAGCAGAGCTCGCCGCCCGCACACAGCAGCAGAGACCTCCAGGCATAGCCGGGTGTGCAGCTTGCACACACCGACCCCTCACAGCCTCTGCTCCCGAAACTCGGCTCTGGCACTTCGTTCGTTGGGCCGCGTGGCCTCCAGGCACCTTGCAGCACTGGTGGGGGCTGCCCGCAGCATCTCTCCTGCCCTAACAGAGCCAGCCCGGACAGACCTCCTTGTATCCCGGCTGTCCAGGCAGTGCTGCCGGCACCCAGAAAGCTGCCAACGACCCCCAGAAGCTGTTTGTTCCTCCTCACCCCCATGGCACGACATGCTCTGACTGGTCAAACAGCAGCAAACACGGTATACTCTTCTCCCTGCCCAGTTATAATCCACCTACCAAAAATAAACACCAAAATGACACCAGCATCGCCTCCCAGTACCTGTATCCTAACCCTGTCCTTGCACCAAGGGGGTACCTTCCCGGGGGGAAGCAGGGCATTTCCCAGCCATTGGAAAGTTCTGGCAAACACCCCAGGGCTCCCTGGAGAGCGGCAAGGCCCTGACCAGCCCCTAGCAAAAACCAGCGTCAGCCCCAGGGGTCTCTCTGGAGGGCAGCAGGGCATCGCCCAAGCGACTGCAAGCCTGGAAAAGGAGCTGGGGAGTTCTGTAGCTAGGCAGGGCTGCTTATGTCACCCGATAAAGCCCTGGGGACACCGGGCCCCCCTGAGGCTTCCAGCAAGGCTCACTGAAGGCCTCGAGGCAATCTGGATGGCAGCAGAGCACTGTTGAGGCCATGGCAAAACCTGGTGAAAGCCCCCGTGCTCTCTGTAGGTCATCAGGGGGCCAACCAGGACCCAGCAAAGCCTGGCGAAAGCCCCAGGACGCTTTGAAGAGGAGCAGGGCCCTGCCTAGGCCCTGGCAAAGCCCAGTGGAAGCCCCAGGACTCTCTGTTGGGCATCAGGGCTCAGCCTGGGCCCCAGCAAAGCCTAGCTGTGGTGCGTTGACCTAGGCTGGTTGCCTGGTCCCCACCAAGCCACTCTATATCACTCCCCCTCCTCAGCTGGACAGAGGAAGAAAATAGGACAAAAGGCTCATGGGTCAAGATACTTACAGGGAGATCACTCAGCAATTACCATCACGGGCAAAACAGACTCGACATGGGGAAATTAGTTTAATTTATTGCTAATCAAATCAGAGTAGGGCAATGAGAAATAAAAACAAATCTTAAAACCCCCCCCCCCCCCCGCCCTCTCCCTTCTTCCCAGGCTCAACTTCACTCCTGACTTCTCTATCTCCTCCCCCGAGTGGCACAGGGGGATGGGGAACAGGGGTTGCAGTCAGTTCAACACAAGTTGTCTCTGCTGCTCCTTCCTCCTCACACTCTTCCCCTGCTCCAGCATGGGGCTCCTCCCATGGGAGACAGTTCTTCACAAACCTTTCCAGCGTGGGTCCTTCCCACGGGCTGCAGTCTTTCACGAATGGACTGCTCCAGTGTGGGTCCCCCATGGGGCCTCAGGTCCTGCCAGAAAACCTGCTCCATCCCGGGCTCCTCTCCGTGGGACCACAGGTCCTGCCAGGAGCCTGCTCCAGCACAGGCTCTCCACAGGGTCACAGCTTCCTTAGGACACAGCCACCTGCCCTGGCATGGGGTCCTGCACAGGCTGCAGGGTGGACATCTGCTCCACCCTGGACCTCCATGGGCTGCAGGGGGACAACCTGCTTCACCATGGACTTCACCATAGTCTTCATCACAGGCTGCAGGGGAATCTCTGCTCCGGCACCTGGAGTACCCCCTCCCCCTCCCTCTTCACTGACCTTGGTGCCTGTAGAGTTGTTTCTCTCACGTATTCTCATTACTCTCTCCCGGTTGCTGTTACGCAGCGGGTTTCCCCCCTTCTGAAATCTGTTCTCCCAGAGGCGCTACCACCGTCACAGATCGGCTCAGCTTTGGCCAGCGGCGGGTCCATCTTGGAGCCGGCTGGAACCAGCTCCGTCTGACATGGCGGGGCAGCTTCCCACGTCTCACAGAAGCCACCCCTGCAGCTCCCCCAGGCACCAAAACCTTTCCACATAAACCCAATACACCAGCAAAAGCCCTCTGGAGAGAAGCAGGGCTCCTTGCGGGTCTCGTCAAAGCCAAGTGAAGTCCCTCAGGCTCTCCTGAGGGCAGCAGAGCTCTGCCCAGGCCCTGGAAAAGACTGGGAAAAGCCCTGGGGCAGTCTTTATGGAAGTAGGGCCCCTGTGGGTCCTGGCAAGGCCTGGCGAAGGGCCCAGGGCTCTCTGGAGGGCAGTGGGGCCCTGACCAGGCATAAGAGTAAGGGACAAAATATTCAAAACCTCCTCATTAAAACCAATCAATCTGACATAAAAGGACCCCCTGACTGACAGGAGTGAGACCCAGAACAGAGATGTTTATGGGGCCTCCTGGAAGAAACAGGATTTATGACAGGCCACTTCAACAGGCTCCCCACACCCACCTGACAGAAACTATGGGATAACTGTGAAGGGGATTGCACCAATGGCCTGGATGTTGGGAAGGTGCTAGATAAAATTGTCCTGTCTGCTTCTCCAGCCCCACTATCGAGAAGCTAATGGAGGAACTCCCAACCCCCAGGCCAGCGAGCTCCCATGACCCATCCCAAGTGGCCAAACTTTTTGGAATAAATATTTGTGATAGCCTTTGTATACCATTAGTGGTAAATGATAGATATTCTCGCTCTTTTTACATGGGCACAGGAGCCCCAGTATTGATGATTAAAGCTAGGGATGGTGCTGCATTAATCCAGAAAGCCTCGAGAAGGGCTCCCAGGGATCACTGGGAAAAGACAAGAGTTCCCAGCAGCCGGATAGAGTTGGACTCAATGATCTTTAAAGGTCTCTTCCAATCCAAACCATTCTGTGATTCTAGCAAAGCCCAGCAACAGCGCTGGGGCTCTCTGGAGGGCAACAGGGCCCCGCATTCATCGAATCCATATCACTCCAATTTACTGGCAAGAAGGTTTTGGGTGACTGTGTCAAAAGCCTTATGGAAGTCTAGGTAGATGATATCCATAGCTCTTCCCTTGTCCGCTGATGCAGTCGCTCTGTTGTGGAAGGCCACTAGATCAGCGAGGCATGGTTTGCCCTTCGTGAGGCCGTGTTAGCAGTCGCTAGTCACTCCCGTGCCTGGGAGTTTGCAGGCGGTGGCTGAGAATAGAGTGACACTTCTCAGGACAGGGCTGTCCCAGTTCCATTTAACCCCTGTCCTGAAGCTCTTGGCTTTGCAAAGGGTGGGTGCACCGAAGAGCAGCCCTCAGGGAGGCTGAGTGCAGAGTTGCTGCACCGTCGCTGGACTATTTATTTGGTGTTACCCTTAAAGGTGCAAGTGCTGGATTAGGGTGGGAGTGGGGATGAAGAGCCCCTGGGTGCCTGCCCTCCCACACCCCCACAGTAGCTGCAGTGAAGGGTGTGCTTTTTAATGTCAGTTATAATAAAATATTTTTACAGAGCCCAAAAATTTCAAAATAGTGCAAAACATCTCACTGTCATGCATCCATGGTAGCCGCCGCCGGCAGTGCCGCGCGGGGTGGTACAGACACACAGGCATCAGTGACACATGTGCTACAGGAGCAGAATTGGTCGGTTCAATCACATGCCGAACAGGACAGTTTGGGGAGGGGCACAGGACCAGGGGCACCACGGTCGGAGGGTGCAGGGCTGAGCCCCAGCCTGGCCGTGCGGGAGCAGCGGTTAGAAAAGGGGTGTAAACATTGAACAGAAACAAGAGAGGAAAGCTAAACCCTTTGGTCCCAGGCAAACCCTATAGAAAAAGGACCATGGGGGCCAGTTGGGGTACCCTGTTTTGGGATGGGGCTGAGAGAGCTATATTGACTTGTAGGGTCATCAGGCCTCTGTCTTCCCTGGTACTTAGGGCAAGCTGGCCAGCTGGGGTGGCCATCCCCAACACCACGCACCCTGGCCTCCCGGGCACTCGCACAAGACACGCACACCACTGATCACGCAGAAATGGTGGTTAATGGGAAACTGGGGGGGAGGGAGGGGTCCTCTGGTTTGGGAGTGAGAAGGGTCTTGCTTGCGCCAAGGAGGTCTCACGGGCGCTGCTGCACTGCACAGGGATGGCTGGTCCCCACTGGCCAGAGCAAAGGGAAACAGGTCCCTCTGCTCCAGCTCCCCCAGCCCTCACCTCCAGGCCCTGGCACCCTGGGGGTGACAGCGGGGCAGCCCACAGTGGCGGCAAGGCAGGGAAGACAGGATACGGGCCGGGGGCTGCTCCCTGCCGCTCCCGGCCCCGGTGATGCTGCTGCCAGCCAGGGACGGGACACTGTGCAGGGCACGCAGGGGCTGTGCCCGCCGACCCAACAGCCCCAATAGCCCTTCCAGGTGCAGGACACAGCCGTGTTGTCCGGCTGCCCCGTGTATGTACAGCTATTTACATATGTACAGGGTGCTCAGCGGGTGGGAGCCTCCCTGTCCCTCAGGGCGCCGGACATTGCTAGAGGGATGGAGACAAGGGGCCATCGTGCTGTGCCAGCCACTCACCAACACCCCCAGGTGGGACGAGACAACACCCCCACCCCCAGCCCTTTCCTTACATCGCTGGATGAGGCTTGGGGCTGGGTAGGACAAGGTAGGGTCAGGGATGGGCCAGTAGGGTTCCTCCATCTCAGACAGGCTGGGAAGAAGTAGATCTGTCCCATTGCCCAGTCTGGGGTCCAGTCCTTCCCTACAACCCCACCAGTCCCAGCACCTTCCCATCGGGGTAGGATGGGGGCATGGCCATGCTCTGCACCACTGTCACCCAGCCAGTCTGGCCAAGGGAGGGATGGGGGGTTCTGTCACTGCAGCCATGTCCCCCCCACACCCACACCAGGGCCGGGAAGAAGACTCCTCTTGTGGCCGCTCTTATGGCTTATACATGGCTGGAGGATGCTGTAGAAAAGGGGCCAGGAGTGGGGGGAGAGGGCTGGGGAGTGGAAGGGGTTTAACTGCTGCCCTCCTCAGCCGAGCGTGTGTCCGACTTGAGCTTGACGAACTCCTTGGCCACCTCGTCATTGTTGCGTTGGGAGAGGATGCGGAGGACAGTGAGGCCGGTGTCATCCATGTGGATGCGGCGGCCCAGGGGCAGCCAGCAGGCACAGCCGGGTCGCTGCAGGATATCACGGAGCTGCAGGACAGCGATGCCCACTGTCCGGTCCTCCCGGGCGAAGCAGTAATCCTTCACGCACACCTGCAGCTCGTAGCACTCAGGGCCCGTCTCCGTCCCCAGCGTGCTGCAGGGGGGCAAGGGACAGGCAGTGTTGACATAGGGGGTCATGCTCCCAGGCCCCCTGGCTCTGCGACAGCACCCTATATGGGTGCTGCCTCCCCACTGCCCCTAAAAAAGCCGGTTTTGTTTTTTTTTTTTTTTCCTTTTCCCCAATCCCTGCTTTTACCAATGAGAAAACATTTAAAACATTGCTCGGGGGACAAGCAAACTCACTGGCAGATCCCAGGAAAGGGGGGTTCCCCCACTTGGGGGGACCCCCCCCCCCCAGCCCAGCCCCACATCCCCAGCCCCGTGGTGCTACTCACAACTGGAAGCTCTCATTGTACTTGGGGGCCCAGCTGTTGTTCTTGGATTTGGTGGCAAATTTCCTCTTCTTGTCACTGAGGTGGGGCCCTATGATGTTGACTTCGATGAAGGGCCGGAAGATGCCCGACGTCTGCCACTTGAGGTCGTTCGCGGCCACCACTGCAAGGAGGGAGCACGTGAGGCTTACAGGGCACTGCCACCTGCCAGAGCCTGACATCCCAACCAGCAGAACCCACCTTTGACAGTGACTTTGTGTTCACCAGTGCCAGGATGGGTGAAGAGCTCCACGTGGATGGACACCTCCCCGACAGGGTCATCCACAGCAGAGCCTGTGTGGCAAAGGGAGGAGACATAAGTGCCTGGTCCCCCCGTGTCCCTGACATCCCCTGCCCACCACCAACCCCACTGGAGGAGGCAGGTCACCCACCATGGGGTGGGAAGGGGTGAGCAGTAGGATTTGGCCCAACTTGGCCTCTGCCAAAGAGTTCCGGGGGGACAGCAGCATAGGTGCACAACTCTCAAGGACAGCTGGAGCTGGCACCAGGCTGGGCTGGGGCACGGCAGGACATCCCCAGCACCAGGCTGGCTCCCTGTCATGCCACCCCACATCGGCAGGGCCCAGTGAGCCCCCCCTTGCCCAGGCAGGGGCAGAGGTGCCTGGGTGGGATGGGGCAGGGGACAGTGACCCAGCTCCCCCTACTATAGGCATGGGGGGGGTGTCAGTGCTCCATGCATGGCTACAAGCATGGGCACAGCACCAGGCAGGAGGGACCCAATCCGGCCCTTGTGCCACAGGGCAGCCGTGGCCCTGCCAGGGGCTTGGGGCTGACCTGCTCCCTCTATCTCAGGGACCACATCAAGCCCTGGGGTCTCCGAGCCTGGGGAACTCGGGTGACCTGCGACCAACAGCCCAGCCCACTCCCTCCCCGCCAAGAGCCGTGCATGCACCCATGGGTGAAGGAGGGAGTACAAGGCAGAGGGACAGGCTCCATGAGTCAGACGGGGCTGAGGAGACCAAACCGAGCTCAGCGGAAAGTTCCCAGGGTGGAAATAACAGTGCAAAGGAGGACACATCCCCGTGTGTCACTGCATGGCCCCCAGGACGAGGGTGCCAGGCTGGGGGGGAGACTGGTGATGGCACACTCTCCTCTCCATCCACCTTCATCCTCCGCCCCACCCCAGCACCCCATCCCCCCAGGCACCCGCCACCCGGGCAGTGCCGCATGCTGAGCCGAAATGGAGGCAATGGCGGGTGAGGAGGGGGTGTCTGGGTACGGGAGGCCAAGCATGGGGTGCAGTCCCAGCCCCTCCGGCAGGGTGCGATGGAGGCCAAGCAGGGCCCATGGAGCTGGGCTCATTCCTTACGCCCCGGGGCGGGTGGACGGAGCTCGCCGGAGCAAGGCTAGTAATGGTCCTTCTGGCAGCAGGGTGGATGGGACACGGACATGGTCATGGCCTCCCCTGGGACCACACGTCCCACTGGGACAGCTCCCCAGCTTGCAGGGAGGTCGTGGCAGGTGCCCACCCCCAGTCAGCAGCACTGGGGACAATAGGGGGGTGCCCGCCTTCGCTTGCAAGCTCTGGGCACCCCCATCCCCATGGGACACAGCCCCCCCTCCCTGGTTTGGGGGGTGGTCGATATGGCTGAGCACAGTTCCTCCAAATTCAGCCCAAAGCAGCCCTGGGAGTGTGAGTCTGTGGGCAGAGGGCTCCAGCTCTGCCCACATAAGAGGTTCCCAAGGCCAGCGGTGCTGGGACAGGGCTCCTGGCCACCCCGGCTCACAGTGCCGGGACTGTTACTAGCCCAGGCCGGCGGCAGCAGGCAGGTGCAGGGGCAGGCGAGCGGCACACGTACCCTTCTCAGGATAAATTTCTTCACTAAGGGTAAACCTAATACCTTTCCCACCATGAACTAGTGGGAAGGAGAGAGAAAGAGACAAGAGACAGCACAGAATAGACGAAGAGAGGAGGACGGAGATGACGTGCGTGGGGGACGGGAACAGTGAAAGAGGGGGGAGAAAACAAAGAGAGAGAAAGATCAGATCTCACAGACAGATGGACGGCCAAGCATCTGGACAACACTGCAGCAACACAGGAGTGCCGGGTACCACCCAGCTCTGAGCCCAGGGGGTCCTGAGGCCAGATTGCACCCACCAGACCTAACCCCACGCCCCTGACATGGCTGGCACAGGAGGCACAGACAGGACAGATGTCCCTTACAGGAGACGCACAGACAGCAAACGCACGTCCCACTCCCTAAGGACGCAGACAAGCCTGGCTGGGGCACTATGCGATGGCCCATGACTGCCACCAAGCATCCGTCCCCTCCTCGAGCAGCCAAGGGACAAAATAAAGGGCAGCATTCAGAGCTAAAGATACAATCCTGCCCTGGAAGGTGCCCAGCACCCTGCACTGCATCACTCTGGGATGGGGGACGTGCCTGAGAGGCACCCGGCATCCTGGACAGATCCCAAATCATGGGGTATGTGGGGCACCCAGCGTGCCCAGGACAGGCCCTGGCACTGCATCTGGATCCGGCTGATCCTGCAAGAGGTCTGAGCCCTGGCCAGACTGGCACTGCTTGGCCGAGACCAGCAGCTCCAAGGCAGCACTGGACCAGAGGTGTCTGTGCTAGGTGACAGGGGCCATCCAGAGGGGACAAACACGGTGACGCGTGACCTTCTCCCCCACCCATGGGCCCCATTTCTGTGCCAGCCCAGCCATGCCCTGGCACTGGGGACACAGTCTTCTTGCTGGTGAGGGACTCAGGGGTGCCAGGCTTCTTCTGGGCACCCACAGCCCCTCTTCACCTGCAAATCATGGGAGGTAAAACCCTTCCCTCCCACCCCTCCATGTGCCTGGCTGGGGTCCCCAGCTCCACCAGGACAGAGGCACGGTGGGGCCCTGACCATGGGGCAGCCGTGCCCGTGTGTGGGGATAGGGAGCCCGGGTGGGGGACCAGGGCAATGCGTCCTACCCTGTGAAGCCTGAGTCTGCACAAAGGTTTTGATGAGGAGGTCAGTGGCCTGGGTGTAGAGGGACAGGGCGTAGCGCAGTGACTGCAGGTCGGGGCTCTTCTCCAGGAATGTCTTCTTCAGCCCCACACCGCCGGCGTGGAAGTATTGCTGGAGGGGGGAGACGGCCACAGTGTCCTCAGTTGCTCTGCTGGAACTGCCCCCACCCAGCACCCCCCTGGGTTTGTGCTTCAGGGCTAGAGCCCTCAGGGGCACCCCTTCGTACCCCAGAGTGCCCTCACCTTGATGGTGTCCAGCGCCAGCTCCACCACTGCACATTGCTTTGGGGTCAGGCTCTTGGCTTCCTCCCGCACCATATGGTCCTGCAGGGCACAAATCCTGCTCTCAGCATGGGACCAGGGCCCCACTCCCCTCGCCCCAGCCGTGCCAGCAAACAAGCATTGGTGGGGTCCTTGCAACAGTGCCAGCCTGCAAAGTGTCACCCACCCCAGCAGAGAGCAGCTCAGACTGCCTGCCCCCACCCAGCCCAGCCTCTCAGCCCTTACCTTCAGCTTAGAGAGCTGCCCCAGCTCCTTCGCTGCATTGAAAATCATCTGCGTGCCCTGCAGAGAACAAACAGACAGGAATGACCCCAGTCAGCGGCCGGGCTGGGGGTGCCATGGCCAGGCTGGGCACACAGTGCCAGGAGCTTGCTGCAGCTCTGGGGACTCCCCCCGGCCCCCCCAAGTTTCAGGGGGCTGGAGAGGTGCTCCTCGGAGAGCCCCAGGGACCACTGGCCATGCCAGGCATGGTAATGCAGGTGCAAGGCTGGCAGCCCCCAGCCCAGCCCCTGAATTCTCAGCACAGGTGTGTGGCTGGGGGCTTGGGGACCTCAGGGCACAACAGCCCCCTGGCATCAGAGACCTCACATCCTGCTCAGCACAAGCAGCTTGGCCCAAGGTGTCCCATCCTGCTCCCTGTGGTGCCCAAGCACCCACTTCTGCATCCGACAGAGCCCGGCACGGCACATCATCGGCACCGCATGGAAAATCATGTGTCGTTGGGGTGGGGGGAGCAGAGGGTGAGTGCAGGGGGACAGTGGGCACAGGAAGGATGCGGCGCAGCCAAGCCAAACACCCCCCTGCCACCTGAACCCATACCCAGTCCCAGCCCCAGGGAGGTTCCCGGCCCCTTTGCACCCCAGGGAACACCACAGATTGGAGCCCCTGGCCACCTTTGCCTGCCCTGTGCCATGCCACCCCCATGGGCAGGGGCCATGAAGCCATTCCATGGGGTCCACTGGCACAGCTCCTGGAGACACAGCCCCGTGGCACAGGCAGATCCCTCTTACCTCCCTGGTCTGGCACCTGCTTACAGGGCTGAGCGCAAGCTCCCCTTCTCAAGCCCTCCAGTGTGCACCATGCAACTGGGTAAACTGGGGCCCAGCAGGGCAGAGCCAGCGATTCCCACTTCCTTCCCCCTCCAGGCACCAGTAGCTCCAGTCCTTCCCAGCAATAAGAAACCCCAGCATCTATCCCACTAATCATTACCTTCTGCAGGGGTCTGGCCCCCCCATGCCCTCATTTTGTACCCCCATTAACCCTTTGTGCTCCCCCACCCAAGTTCTGTCCCATTAATCCTTCCTTTGCTGTCCCCGTCTCCCCCAGCCAGTGAACAGGCTGGGAGCTGGGGACACTGGTATCACCCAAACAGCACGACAGGACACTGTACTGAGCTGGGACCCCCAAAACCCCACAGCGCACGGGACAAGGGACGGGGAGGAGGCGAGAGGAGGGACCAGAGCCAAGTGGGGAGCAGAAGAGCCATGTTCTTACTTCAGTGTGACTGGGCAGCTTCACCCTGCTCTGGAAGAGAACAGCAAGGGACAGTTACTGGTGGCCCCAGCAGCAGCCAGCCGCGGGTCTGGGCCCCCCACATCCCCCAGCCGTGTGGGCTCCGGCCCCGTAGTCTCCTCTGGCTGCGCCCCATTCTCCGCTGGTGCCACTGGTTCAGCACCAGTTCACACCCGCAAAGGCTCAGCCCTGTGCACTTGCTGGTGAACCTGTGATGAGCGTGCCAGGTCTCTTCCTGAGTGGGGGCAGGCTTGCTCCCCACCTTGTTTGGGCCTCGGGAAATAGCAGCAAGTGGAGGAAAGCAGTTTGCCCAGCATGCTCAGCAAACTGAGGCAGGACCAAGTGTCCCTTGTGGGAGGAAGGGGGGAGCCGGCGGGAGCTGCAGGCATTGCCCAGACAGATGCTGGCACGGCTCTTCCCGAGAGCTGCATTTTGGGAGGCAGACTGGAGGGCTGTGCTGGGCCCCCAGTGTGGTGGTGGGGAGCACCCAGACAGAGGGAGAGCCCGTGTGTCTGGAGAAAGCCCTTTGGGCAAGTTTTGGGGCTCAGCAAGCCTTGCTGAAGCCCCCCACATCAGGGGGAAGCGGGCTCAGAGGTCCAGGGGATCTCAGCAGCTCCATGGCCCCCAGTGTGCCCTGCACATCCCCAGCACAGCCCAGTATCCTGGGGGTCACCTTTTCCTGAGCCCCCAGTGGTGGGACAGGTTTTGTGCCTGGGTTCTCCCATGCTTGGGCACCCTGTCCCAGCCAGGCACCTGGAGGGGTGCCGAGTGCTGTGGAGCAGCATCCCCCGTGCCTGCCTGGGGATGGGTAACACCCCACATACCCACCCATGGGGGCTAAACATCACACAACACCCACTCTCTACCCCAGGCAACACACAGAAACAAGTCACTGCCCCCATCCTGCACACAGGCAGCACATCCCGGACAACACGGCACACCTCAACACAACACGCCACGCAGGCAATGGCACATCCAGACAGCACGACAGAGGAAGCACGGACAAGCCTGGACCTCCACAGCAGGCGGGTGTGGGGCCACGAGCGTGGCCACGGGGCAATGACACACACGGAGCCCACAGCTATTTACCTTCTCTGTCCCCTTGCCATGTTTTCTCAAGAGCGTGCCCTGTAGAAGCAATGTCAGAGGTTGAGTGGTGGGGTGGGGGGCCAGCGTGGGACAGGACACAGGGGGTGCGGGGCAAGGCTGGGTATATGGGGTGGCCGCAAGCTGGCGGCAAAGACGTTTCTGAGCTCCGAAAGGACAACCAGCGCCAATGGGGGACTGGTCCCTGTTGGGGTGCTGGGCCCATGGGGGACTGGTCCCCACTGGATACTGGGTTAGTAGGGGACTGGTCCCCTGAGGGATGCTGGGTCAGCGAGGGACTGATGTCTTTGGGGTGCTGGGCCAACTGGTCCCCACTGGAACGCAGGATGTTGCACTGATGGAGATCTTGTCCCCACACTGGGATGCTGGGCTTACTGGTAGCTGGTCCCTGCTGGGATACAGGGATGCTGAGCCCATGGGGGACTGGCCCCCCACTGGGATAAAGGGAGGCAGGAGCCAGCTGGCACTGTGTGTGGGCAGCCTGTTGTGCCCCCACATTCCCCTCCAGCTCTGGCAGATGCTCACAATGCTGGGGAGGGAGAATGGAGGAGAGCTGTGCTTGGGTTTTGCACGCAGAGTTCTGGTCCTTGCAGTGCTGACCCCAGTGACAACCCCACACCGACCCAAGCCCAGCAGTGGCAAGAGAAACAGTGTAAAATGGGGCAGCAGTGCCCATGTGGGGGGGTCCTAACCAGCTTCTTGGGGGGGGAGAGAGGGCTGGGGCATGTCTGAATCAGGAGGGGATAGCAGGGGAGTCAGCTGGCAGGGAAGACTGCAGGAGGGACAAGCAGCACAGTTAGCGCCAAGCAGGGCTGCCAGAAGGATTTCTTGCCCTGGAGGATAACTGAGGCACAGGGTGATGGGTGAACAAGACGACCTTGTACCCTGTAGAGCTGATGCCACCGCAGTCCCCCAGCAGCCTCAGCAAGGCTGGGACATGGGGTCCCCGTGAGGTCTGAGGGGAGGCTCAGGGACCCCCAGGGTCTCTCCAAATGCTGGTGTCGGACACAAAAGGTGTTGGGGGACAGGGGACGGGCGTTTGTCCCCACAGGGACTGGCATCCAGCACCCAACCACCAGTGCCTGTGAAGGTGCCTGTGGTCAAAGCAGGGGTGGGGACAGGATTGGGGAGTGGACATGGCCCTTCCCTTGCACCGTGGGGCATAAGCCCATGGCCACAGACTGAGCAGAAGAGGACAAACAAAAGGAAACTGCTCAGTCAAAGCCATGCAAGGACCCAGCAGCAATGCCAAGAAGGGAATCCAGGAGCCTCGGCTCCCTGGGCCATATCCTGACCAGGGAAAAAGTCTCATAACTTGTGCCAGCAACCTGCCCCACTACTGAGCAACCGGGACAGGGACCATCATGTCCCAGGGAGATGCTCCTCTCCGCAGGCAGGGAAAGCCTCTGCCCTCAGTGCCCACCATAGCCACAGCCCAGCCAGGGCCTCAAGGGGAAATTGAGGCACAAGGGGTCAGGAAGAGCAGCCCTGACTGCCAGGCACACACTGCTCCCCCTGCTCATGTCTCCAGTGGCCTCTCTCACCCTCAGCACGGAGCAAGATGGGATCAGCCTGGGTTTGGCTGTCCCTGATTACATGGCACTGCCCCATCACCATCCCTTCCCACCCCATCACTAACCCTTGCACCTCCCCACATCCAGGCACCACGAATCTGTCCAGGACCTTTCAACCCCCCAAAACCCAGGTGGGGCCACGGGCAAACGCCCACCAGGAGCCAGTGCCAAGCAGGCAGCACGAGGATGGGGACCACAGAGGTGGACCAAGTCGGGAGCCGGAGGAGGGTGTGGGCAGGGCACGGGCAGCCACACAAAACAAAAACCGGCGAGGCCAGGACCGACACACAGCGGACAGACAGACAGACAGACAGGGAGCTGCCGTACTTACAATCATCTGCCATTGAGAGGCGAGCGGAGCAATTGGAGAGAACAACCATGACATGAGTGTCGGCCCCCTCCTCCATCCTCCCCAGCCCCAGCTGCCCCACAGCTAGGTACCAGCCCTGGCCACCCCCCAACTCCCACCAGCCAGGAGGGACAGCAGAGCCATGGGTGTCCCCCATCTGATGTGCCACAGCACTTGGTGTCAATGCCCTGTCACCCGCACCACAGATCTCCACAGCCCTGAAGTGGCCCCATCCCAACCTGCCCAGTCCTTCCTCACTGCAGCAATGGGGCTCTGCCCCAGGGCGACTCAGCTCCAGGGAGCTGACGGACCCCACTCGACATTCAGCTCTGACACGTAGCCCCACGCTGCCAATCTGCCCAGTCACCCCCAGGCTGGAGCCCAGAGCCACCCTGGGCGGTCTGTCCCCTGCTGTAGGGACCAGCCCCAGCACGGCCCCCCAGGAAAATTGCCCAACAGATCCACATGTCCATGCCACCTCCTCTGCCCTCAGCACAGGGCTCGCTGCCTCCAGAACACAGCATAGCCACACGTGGCCGGGAAGGGACAGAGATAGGGACTGGGACGGCAACTGGGACCCAGTGGCAGCAGTGTTCCTGCTAGAATTGGTCACCTCTGGCCAAGAGTGTGCAAGCCTGGCCGGGTATGATGCAGAGCTGACCTGAGCGGGGCTCTGGACTGTGACAAGGTGCCAGTGAGGTGAGGGCTCACAGGTCACCAAAGTGCTGTCCCTTACAGACACAGCATGAAGAGCCCCACAGCCCCAGAAAGGTAACACAGCAGCCGGTGGCTCCAGGGACTGCAAGTAAGAGCCTGAGCCCAGCTTTGTGACAGTGACAAAAGCCACCGAGAGGGACAGATGTGTGGCTGGCTCAGAGCCCTTGGTGTCACCCTTCCCTGCCTGACCCTGAGGGAACAGCCACACTGGGAAGCTTCAGAGTGCATGGCTACGTGTGGGGGAGGACAGACACACAGCGATGCAATACGGAGCCTCAAAGCCTGTAGGCAACCTCCCTCTGAGGAGGGACCATTCCCTGGGCTTCGCTCTGATCCTCTAGAGCCTGTTCAGCCCATGAGCAAGGAAGAGTTCAGCCCTGCTGCAGGGACATACCCCCCCATACCCACATCACCCCCATCCCCGCAAAGCCAGCCCCTGCTCCCCAGGCAACCCCAGCCCCACAGCAAGGCCGATATACCGTGGCTCCCCACACTCCAGGAGCTTCCCGATTCACCTCCTGGCACAGGGACCGTGCCTACAGCCAGTGCTGACGAGCATGGCATGGGATGCTGCCCCAGCTCAGAGGGAAGAATGGAGAGGAAAGGACCAGCGCCCCTTTTGGTGCCATGATGGAGATGGCAGGAAGGTCCTTTGGCAAAGCCAGGCAAGAGGGTGCTGGGCTGCACCAGGCACCTGGGTCAAGGATGACCTTTCTCTCCTCCATCCCTTCCCTGGCCATGAGCTAGGGGCAGGTTTGGGGAGGCCACCAAAGTCCCCACCCCCTCAGCAGCCAGCATGGGCACCTGGCCATCAGTGTCCCACACTGGCCTCAATCAGCCACCTGTGTCTCAGCTGCAGGGTCCCCTGTCCCTGGTCCCCCTCTCCATCACTCACCGTCTGGTCAGTGAGCGGGGGCAGGACGATGGTCTTCTCCATCGTGTTCATCACCAGCTTCCAGAGCTCCTTCAGCACCCGCTTCAGCACTGTCTTCTCGCAGATCTTGGCAAAGAGCGTCAGGCTGCAGAGAGGGGATGGGGCTGAAGGTCCCGGCATGGCACCCCTGATGCCACCCCTTGCCCGGTCATCCTGACCCTGCAGGTCCCCCACACTCCCCACACGGCAGGCATTGGGGAGGGTGAGGGTCCCTGTTGCCCCCCACACTCACTTGCTGTCCAGGAGGTCCATGATGGGCTGCAGGACGTTGTCGGCATCCTGTGCAACGCTGCTGCAAGTGCTGGCAGGGACATTGCCGGTGCCCTTCACCTGGCCCAGGATGTCACCCATCTGCTTCACACACTCCTCAATGTGCGGCTGGAAACTGGGGACCGCAACACCCAGGCAGCTCAGCATCCCCCACAGCTGCGCCCAGGACCTGCTTGGCCAAGCAGACCCCCCCAGGCTGGCCCCAGCCACAGCTCCTGGACCCCCAAACCTCTCCTTGGCCCACCGCCCACCCCCTCTCTCCCAGGTGTACCTGGTGGCAAAGACTCGGCTCAGCTCATCCAGGACGTTGTTGAGTTTCACCTGCAGTTCCTTGAGGATGTCACTGGCTTCTGTGTCCAGCTGGAGGAAGGACAGGTTGGAGAAGCTGTCAGGGTGCCTGGCCCAGCCCTGGGGGGGGTCTCTGCACCCCAAATGCACCCCTGGGCAGGGGAAACCCATCAGTCATCTGACACAGTGGGAGAGCAGGGTGCCATGGGGTGGGACAGCGTGATCCCATACAGGAGTGAGGAACTGGGGTGTGCTCCCAGCGCCGCAGAGCCAGGGAAGGGCCTGCCTCTGGGGAGAAGGGACTGATACAGCCCCGCCACACGGCTCCCACCTAGAGACCCCCAATACGCACCTCCTTCCCACCCATGGCTTCAAACATCTTCTCAAGCTGGACACGCAGCTGCTGGATGTTGTTCATCAGGATGCAGGGCTGGAGTGGTAGGATGGAGAGGGGAGTCAGCACCAACAAATGTGGCTGGAACAGCTGCCCATTGCCCCAGTTCCCTCCCACCCTGCACTGGGGGACACAAGAACAGCCATGGTACAGAGCCCTGCCTGGCAGCATTTCGGGGACTGCCGTCAGACAGAGACTGAGAGCAGGACCAGCGTCACGAGGACCAGCTCTGGAGCTGAGGTGATGGCTGGGGCCACCGTGTGTGGACAGTCCTGCCTGGCAGCACCAGGCAGGTGCCAAGCAGAAGGGAGATACGTCACCACTTTCTCCTTCTCCTTGGAGCAGTACGAGGCGAAATCCTTGGAGATGATCTCGGCATACTGGAGTAGCACATTGCTGATGGTCTGGAGCCAAACGATGGCAGCGACAAAGACACCCAGACAGCAGCAAAGGGGAAGAAGGAGGGAGAGAAGGAGACCATGAGTCCCACAGCAGTGAAACAACCCAATGCCTGGATACACCCTGACACCCCTAGACCCTCCAGCCCCACAGATGCACCAGGAGCCACATAGGCAGAGCCACTGGAAGCCAGATCCAGCACATCTGGCAGTCGGAGCACAGCACCAGCCAGCTGCTCCCTAAAGAGCAGGGTGCCAAAGAGGACACCAGGCCAGCAGGGTCCTTGGCAGACAGGGCCTGTCCTGCAGTACCCAGCAAGGCAAGCAGGCTGGGCAATAGCAGCCAGGTTCAACTGAGAGTCTGGATCTCCAAGTGAGTCTGCAGTGATGAGACACATCTAAGGTCAAGCTAGGAAGCTTATCTGTGGGCCATCATCACGTTTGGTAAAAGAAGCCAGATTCAGACACAGTCCTGCAATCATTAGCAAAGCCTATGGGAAGATACAACTAAGTCAGAAACTACCAACTCTACTAATGGCCCTAGACTGAGTTTAAATAGGGGCAGGGCTGGGTGTGTGGGTGGAGGCTCCAGGTGAGGCTGTTCAGGGCCATTAAGACCTATCAGTGCCCTCAGGGCCCCGACACCTGTGAGCGGAGCTGTAGGTGTATTTCAGTATTCACTTGATAATGTCCTCACCAGCACAGCTGTGAAGGCATCAGCCATCAAGCCTGCATGCAAATCCCTCCCACACTGCAGAAAGCCAGTGGCATTTAATTAATCTAGATTAATTAACTAATTAATTCATTAATTAGCTAATCTCCTGTGCTAGCAAAGCTGGGAGAGCCACAGGGTCTTTTGGTGGCACATTCGCTTGAGCATTGCTGTTAAGAGGTGGTGTAATGTTTCCCCTGTGCTGCTGCCCACAGCTGGACGGGAGGCAGCAGAGAGAACCCAGGACCCCCAGGGCCAGGGCTGGGACTGTTGGCCCAACGGCCCCCACCCTGGCAGCTGCCCACCTTGGCAAACCTTCGCATGTAGTGCCCAACAATCTGAGGGTCAGGGCACTCAAGCTTCTTGATGATCTCAAAGCTCTGGTTGAGCTGGGAGAAGACGTCCACCACAGAGCAAGAGAAGAGCGCGTGCTCCGATGTCTGCTGGAACTGGAGGAGTGAGAGGCAGTGTCAGCAGAGGGCAGGGAGGGAAGATTTTGGCCCCGATGGGGGCACACTGGGCATCAAGGGACAAACCCCTTATCCACACCAGGCTGTGGCTCTTGTGCCCACTGACAGTCCTGTTCATACCCCATCCTTCTTGTCCCTCTCCAGCGCTCCATGCAGGAAATCCCGTGACACCTCTTCATTCTCATCCAGCCACTGGATAACAAAGGGCTCAAACCAGCTGGAAGAGAAGCCCAACCCTGGTAAGGCCAGCCAGCCCCCAGGGTGCAAGCACCCCCCTCTCCTGCCCCCCAAGAGCTGCACTCACGCAGGGTACTCGGGCACACGGCTCTTGAAGGAGGGCAGCTCGGTGACATACTCGTTGTACAGCCACTTCACCTTGAAGTGCAGGTTCATGTAGTCCGCGCTCTTGCACAGGCGGTGCTTGTCGTGTTCTACACGGGGAAGGCACGTGCGTGCGGGTGTTGCTTCAAGCCCCAAACCTGGGGGGCGGCTGCTCCAAGGGCAGCTCCAAGGATGCCAGGGTAACGGGGTGAAGATGGAAGTGCTTCTTGGGTGGGATATAAGCTAGGCATTGTGTTGATGAGGGGGTGAAATGGGTTTGCCCAGGGAACAGGCGAGGTGGGACCAGAGTGTGGCTCCTGCTTGGTTCCCCCACCTGGCTCAGGGCAGCATGGGGGGACTCACCCTCCATCGCGTACTTCATGTCCTGAGCAAAGAGGTTCCACATCACCTCGGCGCTGATCTTCCCCACGTTCAGTTCCTGGGGGAACCTGGGGCAAGGGGGAAAGCACGGACACGGCGTGGACCAGCCCTCCTCTTGGAGATACATCCCCCCACACCTCCCACCTGCCCCAGTTTCCCCATCTGTAGAATTGGATGTTACAACCCACTTCCAAAGGACTAAAGCTACTGCTGCCACCGTGTGGGCATCCCCCAGGGTGCAAAGCAGGGTCCCCTTTCCCCGCACCTACTCACTGGTTCAGGCAGGGCGTGTAGGAATTCTTGTCCTCCTCGATAATGGAGACTATCAGGGTGATGAGCTTGGACCAGAAGTCCAGGTTTTTGATGCTGGGGCCCTGCTCCTCGGGGGGCACCTCGCCTTTCTTAGTCTGGAGTGATGGGGACACAGCGGAGGCTCCAGTCACCCCACTCGTGGGGCTCGATTTCTTGGCGGGGCTAACGAGGAGGGAGGAGGGCTCTGGGAACACCCTGGAGGCCCCCATGCAGCCCCCCCTTGTCTGGCCCCGGTCTCAACCCCGCACAAGTGGGGCTCAAACCCTGCTCAAGGCTTGGGGCTCATCCTGCATGGGGCTGAGCCCTCTGGAGAGGGACCAGGAGCATTGCACGAAGGAGAAGGGCAGGGGATGGGGAAAGTCAGCGCCCAGCATCCCAGTGCGTCCCAGTTCCCCCCGACCCACGCACCGGGTCCGTCTGGTACTCGCGACTGTACAGTTCGTGACAGTTGTTGAAGATGTACTCGTAGGTGGAGTTGAGGCAGGCTTTCACGCAGTCCTTCACCACCTGGCTGGCTCGTGGGGGGCTCTGCAGCTCCTGGACCTGGGTGTGCGGGGAGAGAGCGGTGCTGGAGGCAGACCCGCAGCCCTGGCCAGCCACCCAGGAGCTACCACGGGGCCAGCACAACCCCAGCCTTGCAAAGAAATGGGGCCAGCGAGGCTCAGGCTCCCCACCAGGGGGATGGGGTGAGTGGGGCCCCAGCAATACCTTCATCCGAAAGAAGGTGATGCTGGTCAGCAAATCCACCGTGGACTTGAGATCCTGCAGCCGTTCGGGACTGCTGGCAGGGAAGTTGTTCTGCCAAAGGGGAAGAAAGGAGCAGAGTTGCACACAAAACTCTCACAGGAGCGAGTGGAGGGGGAGAAAACAGTCACCTGTTGTTTCAGACCTTATTAGAGAGGTTGGAAACTGAGGCATGGCAGGCACCTTACCCGGTACATGGAGAGGTCAATCCGCAGCGAGTTGTGCAGTTGGTCGAGGAGTTTGACAAACCTCTCTTTCTGTGGAGAAACACCCCAGAGCCAGGTAAATGGGGGAAAGGCAGCAGGGACCGTCCCCCCTCCCTGCTGCACCAGCTCTCTCTGCCCCCAACCCAGCCTGTGCTGCCCCCGGCTCATCCCTCTCCTTCCCGCTGTACTGCTGTCCTTCCTTCCCTCCTTCCTTCATCAGAGCCCTCCGGGTGGGCATAGGATGCCGGTGGCGAAGAGCATGTCCTCACTGGTGGCCAGGGCTCACTGGCAGCCATCAACGGCGCAGTACAGCATTGAGAGGCAACACCGTGCATCCCCTTTGCTCTCACTGGCTCTCAGTGCCGGAGCGGGGACCGGCTACTCTATCTGACTTGCCCACTTGAACACTTCCGAGCCTGGGCTCGGGACAGGAGCAGGGAGAGGTGCGCAGGATTGTGCCCCTGGGCTGCATGGCCCCTGGATTGAAGCTTTCAAAGAGCTCAGGAAAAAAGGGCAGGGAAAGAGCAGCTGGGCTTTTGCAGCAGTTGCCCATCTTCGGGGCTGAGCTGCTTTGAGAAAGGCCGGGACGGCCCCCAGGAGTTGGGTGCCTCCATGGGCTCCTCACTCGCCTGACCAGGCTGCATCGAGGGATGTGGGCAGGGAACTGCCCCAGGTAGATGGGCTCCACTGGGGCTGAGTGGCTTTAATTCAGCTCAGCCCAGCTCCTGTCCAGGTTGCATGAGGCAGGAGGATGCAAATCCCACGTCGTCGGGCTGCAGATCGGGTGTCAGAACTGAGGGCAAAGCAACCAGTCTGCCCCAAAAAGCTGTCAGGAGGCGTTTCACTTTGCATCTCTGCCAGGGGGGGCTTTGGACAACCCCGTGGGCTTCCCATGAGAGTCCTGGATTCCCCCCCCAGCACCGGCTGCGCTGGGTCAGGGCTGCCCCACAGGGCTCCGGAGACCCCAGAGCAGCTCCCCATGTCCTGGGTGGGGGGAAGACAGGGGAACGGGACAGGGCAGTGAGTCCTGCACCCGCCTGGCCGCGGCTCAGCCAAGCCCGCAGCCTGCACTGGCAACCGCAAACCTTCGGCGCGCTCGCCCGCCGGAGACGGCAAAGCCAGGCTCTGGGCCGAGACCGTGCGTCCCCGCCACCGAACGGCTGCAGCGCTTTAAAACTGGACACGACGGGTACTCGGGGTTAAAGCGACACGGCCGGGCACTTTAGGACCCAACCTTAGGCTCTCTAAAAAAAGAGAAAGAAACAAGTTTTTAAAACCCTCCACGTTAGAGAAAAGGCGTTTTTTCTTCGTACCATTTCCTCCTCCTGCGTGACCCGGAGGCACAGCTTGCTTGGCTCTAGCTACCCCCTGCAACGGGAACTGGGAAGTGAGCCAAAGCAGCTGCTGCCTGGAGCTGCTCTCGGCCCTGGCTGTGTCCCTGGCTACCCAGCACTTTGCCTGACCCAGGGCTGGGCACTGATCCTGGCTCGACCCTTGTGCATCCAGAGCAATCACCTGCTGCCTTTGGGATGACACGGGGGGAGCCGGGGCAAGAGCTCAGCCCTTCCTCGCCCACATCCCCATGGGCACACCTGGCCCCGGCACAAACTCGCCCCGCTCGCCGCAAGCAAGGCACCCAGCGGGCACCCATGGGTGCTGGCACAGCCAGGCGAGTTTGCAGTGGTCCTGGGGTGCGCCCAAAGTGCACAGGGCCATGCAAAACTCCCGGCGAGCTGCAGGGATGGCTCCTTGCCACCTGCTTGTGATTTTGACACCAAGGTTTCCCCCTCCTCTCACACCGCCGCCCAGCACCCCAGTCCGCTCGGACTTCAGTCGTGGTTTTACCAGAATAATTTGGGGATCAAATTTAGTCCTTCTCCCAGGAAGGTGGTGGCTCTTTTCCTTCCTGCGAAACGGGAGCAGGATGGATTTTGGGGCAAGCAGGGGCTGATCCCCCTGCTGCCCAGCTGCAGTTTGGAGCGGGGTGTTTTGCATGGCCTTTTTTACTCCCCAAGCCCCCCACCCCCTCCCAAGAGAAGAGAGAGAAGAAGGAAGGAGTGTTTACGCACCATCGGACTTACCCCGAAATTGGAAGCGGCAAAGCGGTCGGACGCCGAGACATTGGTAGAAGCCGTGGTGTGGGCATAGTAGGCGTTGATGTTGGCTAGCAGGGTACTCATCACCGCCGGCACCCCCGGGCACATATATTTGGAGGAAAGGCAGGCAAAATGCCTGTAGAGGGAGGCGGAACATGAGGGTGCGGGGCCATAGGAGGGGCTGCCTGTAGGAGGGGGTGCGGGGTTTGGGGTGCATGCACCGAGAAGGGCAGAGAGGGGTGCACGGCTGTGGGCGAGCCAGGGGAACATGTCTGCAGCCATGGTGGGGAGGAGGGTGCAAACGGCTGCAGGGGAGGAAGATGCCAACAGTGACCCCCCCCACCCAGGGCTGGTGCAGCCCCCTTGAGCAGGGTGGAGGGCGAGGGACTCACGTCATGGCCTGGTAGATGGACTCCACTCCGTAACGCATGGCAAACTCATCCACGATCTCCTGCGCCGTCTCATCAAAGTACACCTTCCAGGCGTCATCTCCCTTGGCGTCGGGGATCTTCACCACCCCGTTGTTTTGCAAATCCGTCACAAAGTGGAACAGGTTCTGGAGGTACAAATGAGTCCCGTCAGGTCCCTGGGACCGGTGGTGGCATGGTAGCATTGCTGGGGTGGGGACCATGCCCCCCGCACCTGCCTGGGCTGCTCACCTCATGCAGGCAGGTGTACTGTACGTGGTAGGGAGCCACCTTCTCCTCGCCTTTGATCTCCACGCTGATGTGCAGCCGGATGGCTCCCGACACAGCCGACTTGTCTGTCCGCTTGTCTGCAGGGGTACAGGGAAGGGGATGAGATGTGAGGCTTCCCCAGAGCAACTCTGCTCACCCCTAGCCCCAGAGAGGGGCAGAGGGCTCCAAGCATGGAGGGGTTTTTGGGGCCAGGGCCAGGGGGATGCCCAGCACTAAGTGCAGCCAAGCCAGGGTAAATGCAACCAAGGCACTGCAGAGAGGGATTTGGCCGTATCTCCAGCTGCTACAGAGATGTGGCCTGTCCGTGCCTCAGTTTCCCCTCTGCAGAGGGCCGGTGCTCCAGACTTCCTGGGCAAAGGGTTTTGAGAATGAGCCTGGGGAAACGCTTGATCCCAATGGCTTTCAATATTAAGTGTTTTTAACAGCAGACCCTATACTAATATGCTGAAATAGCCTTCACACCAGGGCTGGCAGCACATCCCCCCGGGACCGCAGGGCCAGCGGGCCATGCTGGGGCAGCCGGTTACCGAGGTTGTACCAGACGTCCATCTCCCCACTCAGGGTCCGGACCTCGATGATCGTCTGGCCCAGGAAATCATCAGACTCCCTCTTGAAGCGTTGCTTGACACGGGACTTGATGTCATCATCTTCGTCCCAGACACGGACCTTGATGCGGTCGGAGGAGTTATGGCACTCGCTGGGGAGGCGAGAAGGGGCAAGCCCCGGGATGAGCAGGGAAACCTTTCCAGCCTCTCCACAGTCTCTGTTTCCCTAAACAAGGGGGACCATCCCAGCACCAGGCAGGAACTGGGGAAGAGAGCAGATGTGGGGGCACCAACCCTCCCCAGTTGGCTTGGCACCATGTCCAGGCAGCCCCAACACAGCCTGGATCAGCCCCCATCGCCAGGAACCAAACCCTTCATGGCACAAAACCAGCAGTCCCAGTGAACCCAGCAGCCCCCCTCCACCCTCAGCTGGGGCAGGATGAGGCCCCAGCTGACTGCCCACCACCCTACAGGGATGTGCTGACAGCCAGCGCAGCGCAGCATGACCGTGAGTGGCCAGGGAGGGGGATGGAGGGGCCAGGGGTGAACTTACAAATGGAAATTCTCCTCCCAGACTGGGTTCAGGTTGCCGTAGATAGTTTTAGTCCTTTTTTTTGTCTTTCCAACCTGGACAGTGACATACGGGTCACTGGAACCCGTCTTATCCTTTGCTTGCAGGCCCTGGGCACAAACGACTGCAGCACAGCATGGCGCAGCACAGCACGCACACCCATCCACACGAGGCACACGCGTGGCACACATAGCAGAGAGAACAGACAGAGAGAGGAGTCAGTGCCACAGCCACACCGAGATCCCCACAACAGGCACCTTGTGTCCCCTGGCAGAGCCCCAGGGGCTGAAGCCGCTTTGCAGGATGAGGGGCAGGAGGGGAGTTGGAGCACACAGCATCCTTGGGCAAGGGGACAGCCACGTGGTCCCCCCCCAGCACTTGGTGCCAGGCACAACCGATGCCTACCCGTGATGCTGATCTTGGCCGACCATTTGGAAGTGCCGTCCAGGACACTCTGCTTCACTGCCTTCATCTGCTGCGTGTGCGTGGTCTTGGTGACCCCAAACACCTCCTGGATCAGCTCAAATATCTCCGGCTTGTTGCGCTCCCGGATCTTCATGCGGTCCTTGAGCACCATGATGATATTCTGGGTCCGGTCCTCTGCTCCGTGCTTGGAGCTCTTCTCCGCTGCCCCTGGGAGAGGACAGCCATGAGTGAGACGGGGCACGGGGGTGCAGGAGCATCCAGGAGAGAGCCGAGAGCTCCCCAAGCCCATTGTGCATGAATGAATTCAAACCTGGAGGGGTCAACACCCTGCCCAGGACAGATCTGCCCGGCTCACCGCTTCCCCCATGCACAAGGCAGGAGTCCAGCTCTCCCCGGGCCTCTCCCTCCTCCCTCTCCAAAGTGAGAAGGGATGAGGCTGCAGGCAACGGCTCCTTACTCTGCAGGCAGTCAGCATTGAGCAGGTCCTGGCACTTCTCGTGACACTTGACGCCACATTCGGCACAGCGCATGCCCTGCCGGGCGATGCCCCAGAGCAGCCCCTCGCACTCGTAGCAGTAAGTGGGGGTGGTGGCCGTCCACACCTCAAAGTTGTGGGGCGTCGTGCAGGAGATGGGGTACACTAAGGCTTGCAGGGTCTTCTTGTAAACATGGTTTTTCTGTGCAAGGACAGAAGAGAGAGGGGGAGAAAAGCTCAGGCAATGTACAGCAGCTGAGCCATGCAGCAGGGTGCAGAGACCCCATCCACGGGTGCTGGGCCACATGCAATGTGACCGCTGGTTGTAGACAAGCAGGGCAGAGGACAACCACCACCATCCCCAGGTGCAGGTGTGAACATCCTGGCTGCTTTGGCATTGCTGGAGGAGGATGTGGTGTGGCACAGACCCCACATACTCGTTTCATCACATCCCCACAGCCCTCCCAGCATGACCACCCACACCCCAGGCAACCCCAACACCTACCAGCTCCTCATTGTTCAAGGTACTTGAGGCCAGCGCGGATGTGATTCCCGCTTTCCTGGACTGGACCAGGGACTGTGGGAAAGAAACACAGTTCCCAAATCCGGCAGAGCATGGGCTGTCCCTCCCACACTCCTTTGAGGTCCCATAAAACACCCAGGACAGACCCCCACCCCAGACAGAGGTGGGTGCTGGCTGCATTGGGCTGGCAGTGGGGACAGCCCAGCTCCCAGTGATGCCAGCACTGCAAAGCACCACCCAGCTGTGCAGTGGGACTGGAACCAGTTCAGCAGCCTGCGGCATTCCCAGTTCAGCCCCAGTGGGGCAGAGCCTCTCGACATGTGTCTGAGAACCTGGGGAGTCTGGGGTGGGGGACACTTACCATTGCCTGCAGGCAGCCAGGGCCAGCAAGGAAGGAATAAAAGGCCGTTAGTGGAAGCCACCTCACAGCAGAGCAAGTCCTGGCCCCTTCCCTGCCGGAACGAGTGGGAATTGGGGCAACACCAACCCCTCACCCAGCACTGGGCCAGTCCCTGGGGGGTTTCTCATGCCAAGCTACAGCACGGGCTGCAGCCTGCCAAATCCCAGCAGAGAAAGGCAGCAGCCCTGCCGGACCCCTGCACTCTGCCCACCCCTTCACCACCCACAACCCAACACCCCAAAACCCCTGACACCAACACAGCACAGTGCAGAAGCATCAGCAGCTGCCTGAGCGGGCTGGGGGGTGAGGGCAGCAAGGGGGGGCCAGCAGGATGGGAGAGGGCAGGCAAATTGGGGAGAGGATGGAGGCACCCTGGGAAGGGCACAAAGTGGAGGTGGCGAGGTGTAGAGAGGGGGAAGGAGGCAAAGGGCACCTAATTCTGGGTGCAAAGGGTGTCTGGTTTCCAAAATTGCTGTCTCTTGTCACCAGGTGGGTGACAGAAGAGTGACTCTGTGCATTACAGCTCAGGGGCTGGATGGGACTCCAGCATGGGCACTGGGCTGTAGCAGCGCAGCGTGATAATGGTGGGGATGGGAGCATAGGGTCTGTGCAGCTCCGAAAAGCCAGCGCTACCCCTCTTCTGGTACATGGGTCCATCTGCTCAGCACCAGCACGGTCCGAGCTGCAGGGAGCCTGTGGCAGGTAGGACAGGAAAGGACCGGGGACGCAGCACCAGTAAAAAAAAGGGAAACCAGACGCAGCCCTGGGAAGCCTTGGGCTGATGCTTGGTGTAGGGACAGGGCCCTGGAGCTCCGTTAAAGAGAAGCACCCTCGGGTGGGGAGAGCCCAGCTGTGTCATCCTCACAGCTCCCCACTGCGAGGTCCAGGGCCAGGAGACCCCCAAAACAGCCTGGGACACCCCCGCCCCCCACCGCCAGGGCTGGAGGAGGCTGGGCAGGCCTGGCCAGCAGCACCCAAGGGTGCTCTCTCTTTAACCCCTCGGACCACGCTCACCAGATCGCTGACTAGAGGGAGAGATTTGCGTCCAGGCTTAATGTCGGGCATGCTGTTAATGCAGCGCAGAAACCTTACTGCCGCCCCCCTGCCGCCAGGGACGGCCAAGCCAGGCCGGAGAAAAGAAAACAGAAAACACAAGCCATGTTAGAGGCAGCTGGGGAGCAGGGCACGGGCGCCCGGCAAGAGCCGGCCAGGGCGGGCGGGCGGCGCAGTCCAGTGGGGCACAGCGGGAGTGAAGCCGGCAGCTGTGTGGTGCAAGGCATTAGGAGGAACCTCACCAAATCGCTAACTAGGGGAATGGGTTTTCGCTTGCGTATGTCCGGCATGCTGTCTATAATGATCAGCCCGCCACCAGGCCTGCAAGAGAGACGAGAGTCAGCGGGGAAGGGGAAACTGAGGCAGGAAGGGCCCCCCTGCTATTGCCCCATGTTCACTTGGGACTTGGTAGACAGGACTGCAGAGCAACCCCCAGGTGGCCTGGGACCCACCCGTGGGACCCCCATCCCCACCACCACCCCGGCCACGGCAGGGATCACCAGACTAAAAGCTGGGGGGAAGGGGATTCTGGCAGAAAACTGTGATTTTCCCCATGTGAAGATATTTTGCTTCAGTGGCGTGACAGTGAAATGCAGGAGAAAAATAGCCCATTTGGCTTAGTTAGCTTTGGCTTTGCAGCGTGGAACAGGAGAGCTGGGGTTTCCCTCTGGGACACTAAAGGTGAGCACCGAGCTGTTCTGCTGCAAGAGAAACCGAGGCAGGAACACCACTTCACAGCCTCCAGCCCTGTCTGCAAGAAAACCCCAGTGTGATCTGGTGGGTTCTCAAGGAAACCTGCCAGGTTCTGCCTGGGTCAGCAGCAGGGCCACCTGCGAGGGGGAGACGGGGGTGAGACCCACAGCCCGTCCGGGTGAGAGGTTCGGGGTCCCCATGGCACCACTCGAGTCCCAGATGGCAGGAGAGAAGTGGGAGCTGCCACCCCAGCTCAGTCTCGTCCCAACCCACTCACCTCCTCGCTTTCCCCCTCGTCAGCGTCTCTCGGGGACACGGAGTGATGCCATCTCTGCTGGCTCCTCCAAAAGCACCGAGCAACCAGCATTCAGCCCCAAAATCTTCCCCCCCCCACATGCCCACAGCTTGGCAACACTTCCCCACGCCAGCCCCCTGACAAGCTTGTTAAGCATATCCTAATGAGGAGGGAAAAGCAGCCCACGAGACCCCGGGGGGGGGGGGGGGGGGGAGACAAAAGGGGGTTCCCCCCAACA